AATGAGAGTTATAAAGATATTCATCTTCCCTAAAGGCTTACATATTTCCAAGTCACTGCTTGGTTACAACAAAATGAGTCTAACTCAATGCAATTAAACCCTTGGCTATACAAAATAAATACAATCAAAAGAAGCTCTTGCTCCAAGTCTCCCCAAACTACTATCTTGGTGGAGGTATATCTCCAACACCTGAAAATGGTTTCCCACGTAGGGTGAGCCAAAGCCTAGTAGAAACTATCTAACACAATATATGAGTATTAACATAGATATAAGTATGATGCACAGGCTCAATGCCCATATGAAAAATCTTTTACAATTCTTTCGCAAACCAAGTCATGCCAAGTTTTATATCACAATTCATGTTATCTAAACCCCTTTTTTAATTCATTTCATTTTATCTCAATTCATGAGTTATCTCAATTCATTACGAACAACCAAACTGAGGATACAACTCAAAGGTTCTCAAATCAATCCAATTACAACACAAACACTTCCATTTGCCAGTTTACGAAAATTTTGTCTGCGGGAATCAGCACCCATGTATATAATTATTCAAGACATTTTAGGGCAAAACTCCCTTTTTCCTAATCTCATCCTAACACCAAAAATCAACCATTCCAACACAACACAAGCTCATATCTACTCCCATGACCATTTCCAATATCTTCATTCGAAAAGCCCTATTTTGATTTTAACCCAAAACCCTAGGTTTGTTCAAAATCACAACAAGTTCTAATATTTCTTACCCATTAACAAATAACTAACTTAAAACCCATAAAAGAGTGTAGAAAGTCCCTACCTCAAAAATGGAAGACGAGCAAAGCAAGGGAGAACTTCAAGGACACCGAAACCCACTTTTGTTTAGATGAAAAGAGAGCCCAAGACGTGATCTACCTTTTCCTCAAAGGCACTAGGGTGAAGAACCCAATGGATCTAGGTGAAATAGTAGAGAGAAGATGAGTTTTAGAGAGAGAAACTCAAAATCTAGGGTTTTGGAGAGTTTTAGAGAGAGATAGAGATGAAAAAATGATGTAAAATGAGGCTGTTACGAACTGATATACGCACAATTCGCTCGAGTGCAAGAGTTGACGCTCGAGCATTAGACACAATAAGTTGTTCTGCTCGAGCGCAAGAAGTGACGCTCAAGTGCAGAATACACACATTCAGTAGTTTTGTAGACGACAGACCAATGCTTGAGCGCAAGAATGGCTGCTCGAGCTTCCATCCGCTCGAGCAGCAAAAATGCCGCTCGAGCATAGAAAACACTCTCCCAGTAGTTTTGCAGACCTGCAAAAGTACTGAGAGTTCACAAAGCCTGCTCGAGTGCAGGAAGTGTCGCTCAAGCGGAAGACCAAAAATCTGGGCAACATAAGGTTTGAAAAACAAGCGACCAACCTGTCCAAGCACAACCACAACAACAGTAATCCAAAAGCCAAATTCAAGGAGATACAAGGGAAGCAAGAGGTAAACAACAATATGAAAGCATTAAACCCGAATCCGGGATACAACAGGAGTCGGGTCAAAAACCAGGATTGCTATAGCTATGCTGCTAGGAGAGCTAGGGTTGATTAAAATTATAAACACAAAACCTTTCGGGTTTACCTTCCCTAATATATATAAGCAACTGCCCGACTTAATTGTTTTTATTATTATTATTAACCTTTAATATTACGTGTTTACAATTAATTAAAATATTCTTTAACAATATTTAATTTGTATTATAGGATTCACTATCAAAATATTTGAGATTGTAAAATTATTATTATTATTTAATTTTTTTTTTATTTCCGAGTTCTCACAATGTCCTTCTATCACCTGGAAATGATAAACAATTAAGTCAGTTGATAACTTAGTGAGTAGCAATATGGATTGTAAATACAGTTATGAAAACATGGTTCAATTTCAAAATAAGATGTATATCACAAAAACTAGAATGGCATACCGTTTTGATAAAGACAATCTATTTCAAATAAAAGGTTCCAAAGTTCAACAATTGAAAGTGCTCATGTCTCTTAATAACATAACAACTGGCATTCTCCACTTTAAACATATTACAACATGATCATCAATAATTTGGGAACCAAGAATAACAAGTAACATGCCACAAAGTTCTCAAGGCAATAAGCTCATTGGATCCAATATCGAACCAAGAGTCATCCTCAGGGTGGTAACCTGGGCCTTTTCTCTAAGACGATCCGATTGAAGGTCATCTAGCCTCGTCCAGGTCTTTTCCTTACAATCGTTAAGCACTAGAGTCATCACAGCCCATCTCGAATCTATTCCCTAGTGGCTAGAGTTACCACACATAGTGGAATAATTTCCCTGGACTTTTATATACAGATGGTCCCAATAATCAATACAATTAAGTTTCGCAAAACATGGTAGTGCACCATTATAAACATGAGACCATAAAATTAATTAAAATATTCTCTAACAATATTTAATTTGTATTTTAGGATTCACTATCAAAATATTTGAGATTGTAAAATTATTATTATTATTTAATTTTTTTTTTATTTCCGAGTTCTCACAATGTCCTTCTATCACCTGGAAATGATAAACAATTAAGTCAGTTGATAACTCAGTGAGTAGCAATATGGGTTGTAAATACAGTTATGAAAACATGGTTCAATTTCAAAATAAGATGTATATCACAAAAACTAGAATGGCATACCGTTTTCATAAAGACAATCTATTTCAAATAAAAGGTTCCAAAGTTCAACAGTTGAAAGTGCTCATGTCTCTTAATAACATAACAACTGGCATTCTCCACTTAAAACATATTACAACATGATCATCAATAATTTGGGAACCAAGAATAACAAGTAACATGCCACAAAGTTCTCAAGGCAATAAGCTCATTGGATCCAATATCGAACCAAGAGTCATCCTCAGGGTGGTAACCTGGGCCTTTTCTCTAAGACGATCCGATTGAAGGTCATCTAGCCTCGTCCAGGTCTTTTCCTTACAATCGTTAAGCACTAGAGTCATCACAGCCCATCTCGAATCTATTCCCTAGTGGCTAGAGTTACCACACATAGTGGAATAATTTCCCTGGACTTTTATATACAGATGGTCCCAATAATCAATACAATTAAGTTTCGCAAAACATGGTAGTGCACCATTATAAACATGAGACCATAACAAATAGTTTACAGTATGCCAAGTTTACACATATTTTAGAAATAATTTAATTCCGTTAATAATATAATAATTTATGAAAATAATTTAGTCCTAAAATAACAATCTAATTTTCCAACAATTCAGGGTAGGAGAACATTTATAAAAATATGTAACATGCAACTATTCACCTAAACACGGTATAATATAATCCTCAAACCAAATAGGAAAGTCCAACTAGTGCCCTGAACCAAGTACGAAAACTACACATCACTACTAATTCCAAAATACTAAAAGAACAATAAATTAATAACCTCAAGCTAACGTGCACTAACACGACTCAACCCAATTCACCGTTACTCTTAAATAATACCTAAGTTCATGTTCTTCAAGGTCCAAAATTAACCCAAATATGGGTTCCGTCGAAACTTAATTACATGTGACTTTGAGGTAAAACAGAATTTTAAACAAGTTTTCCCAATCCATTCGCTAAATTTGAAAATTAAAAACCCACTCCACGCTATTCAAAAACTTCCAAAACCCTCCAAATATCAACTAATATATCCTAAGTTTCAAACTTAATTGGTTTAACTTGATTTGCTTATCAAAATAATTATTTACAATTAATTATATCCAAATAGGTCGCTTTCTACAGCACTTAAAAGAAATTGACGGCTCTCTTAGTTTAGCCAAGCAATCAATGCAAGGCAAAAAATTTAAGAAACTAGACTCGTGACCGGTTCTAATGACACTAATTTGATAATTTTCGGATTTATACCCATATCGAACGACACTTCCAAAGTTAGTGTTGTGTACTAGTTTTTTGCCCATATTTTGTTTTGTTTTGTTTTTTTTTTTTTTTTATCAGCAAAAGAAAGTTTTATTAATGAAGAACCAAAAACATGAGGAACTTACATCAATAAAACAAGGCTGTGCAAAACGAGCATAATAGCTAAAGCTCTACAATCCCAACTAGGTTGGCACCGGAGAGATAGCACAATCATATGCTAGCACAAACCGGAGATTGGTGAGAGACCAATCAACAACAACCCAAAAAACAAAAGAAACAGAGAAAAACAAAAACCCCAAGCCTAGTTACACCCTACAACTATAGTTGCACACCCAATACAAAATACAAAGAAAATGCATCAACCATTAAGAAAACTAACAGCAGCAAACCAATGAGTAACACCCCTTCCACAAAAGATTACTTCACACCAGCAGTAGATTACCAATTAGCAGCAGAGCAAAATCAACAATCCAACATCAGCAGAGTAACAATTAGTAGTATAGCAAAATCAGCAAAACCAGTATCAATCAATAGAGCACCAGCTATTCAGCGATTCAACAAAATTAACACTTCTACAATTCTGTAATTCAACAAAAACATCAGCAAATCAGCTTCCCTGAGCCACAATTAATTACACACAGTGGCAAACTTGATTCAGGTTATAAATAACATCTTGCACTGAATACTTAAACTCTTTCAAAGATGAAAAAGCCCACATAACAACTCTAACCTTTATCAGTTCTTCCAAAGCAGTCCAATCCGGTTGTGTCTTATTAAATAAACACTCATTTCTACTTTTCCACACTAGCCACATTACTGCTAATGGAATTGTCTTCCAAATTGCCTGCACCTTTTTCTTCATTTTTGTACCTGACCACCAATGTAGTAATGCCACCACTATTCCAGGAATAACCCATTTGTAATTCCACCAATTCACTATAGTGGCCCATAATCTCCAAGTCATAGGACAGTGAAGTAAAACGAGGTTTAAAGACTCCATCTCAGATCTACAGAACACACAGAGTGCACTGGCATTTGAACTCAATACTCCAATTCTTTGCAAAAACTCAAAGCATTTAATCCTGCCTCTTCACGCTAACCAGCTCAGGAATTGAACTTTGGGAGGGGCTAAATTGTTCCAAATACTTCTAGTGACTGTAAAATCTGGCCCTTGACTTGCTTCCACCCACTTCCAAGTTGATGCCACAATAAAAGCTCCAGAAGGACGAGCTAACCAAGAGCAAGAGTCTAACACCCCTTCATTGAGCCTAGGTGCATTCTGCAATAGGTCATTAAGTTTCAGCACTTCCTCATCTTCCCATGCTAAAAGAGGTCTTCTAAATACTAGTTTCCAGTCTGAATCCACTTCTCTTCTATGGAAAAAATCAAACAAATTGCCATCTTTGTCAACTGACAAAGTGAATAATCTGGGAAATGTCACACTCAGATTTTGGTTGTTACACCACCTATCAGTCCAGAATTGAAATCGTCTACCATTTCCGATAACTAACTTAAAGTTTTGCAAAAAGAATTCAGGCAGAGTAGTATTTGCTACAGTCACTGATAGCATATCTTGCCACGTATTCGACATCCACACTGATCTTATAAATAAGGGATACCATCTGCCGCCTAAACCTCCATACTTACTACATACCACTTGTTTCCACATAGCTGCCTCCTCTTTGCCATACCTTCATCACCATTTAATTAATAGGCACTCATTAACCTGGCTTAGATTTCTCACACCTAGCCCACCTTTAGTTTTGCTTAGACATATCTTCTTCCAATTAACTAAGTGCACTTTCTTCCTGATTTCAGATTCTCCCCAAAGAAAATTAGCTTGAATTCTATGTAATGATTTTGCAATACCCATTGGCAGCTTGAAGATGGATAGGAAATAGACTGGCAAGCTTGATAGAACAGACTTGATCAGAGTTAATCTTCCAGCAAAAGATAAATACCTTCTCTTCCATGAAGCTAACTTACTCTTAAACTTGTCTACCATAGGTTTCCATGAATTCTTTCTCCTTGGATTTGCTCCTAGTGGGAGCCCCGGATAGCTCATGGCAACTTTTGACTGAGGCAATTTAGTTTTTTTGCAAAAACCTTCACTAGTTCATCCTGCAAACCTACCCCACACACCTTACTTTTATGGAATTTATTTTAAGTCCTGACATCAACTCAAAGCATCTTAAAATTCCTTTCACAGCAATAACTTCCTCCCACTCAGCTTCACAAAAAATAATAGTATCATCGGCAAACTGCAAGTGTGATAGTTTTAACTCATTTGGTCCTACAGATGCTCCTATAATTAGGCCCTCTTCCTTTGCTCTTTCCATTACAATATTAAGGCCCTCTACTACAATGTTAAAGAGAAAATGTGAAAGTGGATCACCATGCCTAAGGCCTTTCATGGGAGAAAACTCTGAAGTTGGTGATCCATTTACTAACACTGATATTCGAGTTGTGGATATGCAAGTCGTCATCCACCCCACCCATTTCTCGCCAAAACCAAAATTAGTCATCATCGAATACAAGAACTCCTAATTTACGGAGTCATATGCCTTTTCAAAGTTCATCTTTAGGATGAGTCCTTTCTTTTTTGACCTTTTCCACCAATCCACCACTTCGTTGGCAATTAGTACCCTATCTAGAATATGCCTTCCACTTAGAAATGCTGTTTGTACTTCACTAATGATCTTGGGCAGAACTTTCCTCAGCTTTCTTGATAAGACGTTCTAGGCACCCCATTTTTTACTGACCTTAAGACTCAGACATCATCGTATGAGCACGTGGTGATCGCGTATGTTTGTGCTCGTTTCGAGTTTTTGGAGTTTTCGGCTGAGTGTCTTGCCTCCGGGCCTCTGAACTCATTATGTTTTGGCTCAGTTTATGGACCAAGCCTTGTGGACCTTGCCTGGAGGGAGAGAGAGTTCCATAGACCACTTTTTTGTGGTCGTAGACTACTTTTCCTTCTTAAAGGCTAGTTTTCGATTTCCGGAGCCTTCGGCCGAGCGCCTTGTCTTGCTTCCCTTTTGGTTTGGTTTTGAACCAAGCCTTGTTTTCCCTTCCCTGGAGGGAGAGAGAGGCCTTGGAGACCACTTTTTGGTGGTCGTAGGCCACTTTTCCCTCCTGTAGACTAGTTTTCGGTTTCCGGAGACTTCGGTCGCGCGCCTTGTCTCGAGACCGCTTACCATTCTCCTCTTGGCTTGACTTTTGGACCATGCCTTGTTGTCTTGGTCTGGAGGGACAGAGAGGTCTTGGAGACCACTTTTTGTGGTCATAGACCACTTTTCCCTCATGTAGACTAGTTTTCGAGGCTTCCGACTACGCGCCTTGACCCCCGGACTCTTGTCTTGCATCCTTTTTGGTTTGTTTTTGCCACAAACCTTGTTTTTCATGCTTGGAGGGTGGAATGAGGGTTGGAGACCAGTTTCTCTCCCTGAAAACCACTTTTCTACCCCGCCAGCCAGTTTTCTGGTCAGCCAACTAGTCTTAGTGGCCTTTGGACCACCACTTTGCTTTCTTGGTGTAGACCACCTCTCCTCCCTTGCCGACCACTTGGTCTTCTTGAAGACCACTTTAAGTAGTTGGCCGACCAGTGCATGTAGCTAGCCGACCACTTCAAGTGGTTAGCAGCTTTCCTGCATTTTCTGCAGAGTTTGTGGATGCCAGCTGGAGAGCACAGATTGCATCTTCCATACAAGTGTATAGAGGGATTTAACCAAGCTTCTAGCTTCTCCAAGAAGCTTGAAGCTTAGAGTTCTATAAGAGGGAGGCTCTCTCTCCTTTTTCCAGGTTTAGAAAAAATTCATTAGAGATAGCCATATATCCCCCTCTCTATATTCCTCGCTCTCTCTATATTTGTGCCTTAAAGTGTGTTGTTCCTTCACTTTTGCACTACAACTCCTAGCCACACACCATCATCTCTGAGATGGGATTCTTGGAGGTGGTATTTGGGTCATAAAAGCTAGTTTTGGGCTGAAGAAGGTGCTGTTGTTGCAGTGCTTCAAGGGTAACCCCTTTTTTCCCTTTTTAAGCTTTGTTTTGGTTACTCTTTTAGCCATCTTTGCATGCTTTGTTTTGGTCCTACTCTTGAATCTGTTTCTACTCATTCAGACCCTGACACAACTGATAATGAAATTAATAATTTAGCTCAACAATTTCAATCCACTACTCTGAATAAACTTCATTATACTAAACCTAATCCTACAACGCTCACCAAAAATTGGTATTCACGACCTACTCCCCCTAATCTCCAATATGAAGAAAATAATCTTAGTAATCAATTTTCTGTATCTGCTAAAAAATTATACGAATGGAATATTGATGGTCTCAGCGAAGATCAAATACTTCAAAAATTAAATCATTTATCTATAGTTGTAAATAGTTATCTTAGTAACTACCCTGATTATACTCAACCTGAAATTGTTTCCTTAATTACTTCTGGCTTTACTGGTATGCTCAAATCTTGGTGGGAATAATATCTTAATGAAGATCAACGCGAATCAATTTTACATGCTAGTCAAAAAGATGAAAATGATTTACCTATATTTGATGAAACTATTGGCTATTATAAACCCGACGGTATTAATACATTAATTTATACCATAGTCAGACATTTCATAGGTACCCCTACTAATATATATTCTCGCATACATGACCAACTTAGTAACCTTACTTGTCCAACATTAAGTGATTTTACATGGTATAAATATGTATTTACCACCAGAGTTATGTTAAGAGAAGATTGTACTAAATCCTTTTGGAAGGAAAAATTTATTAATGGTTTACCTAGTCTCTTCACTCACAAAATTAGAGATGTCCTTAGTCGACCTACTGGTGTAATTGAATATGATAATTTAACTTATGGTGATATCATTAGTACTATTCAAAAAGAAGGATTAAGAATGTGTATTGATCTTAATCTTAGTCAAAAAGCTGCTAAAGATAAACATAAGGCTAAATACGAATTAGGTAATTTCTGTGAACAATACGGTTTACCTGCTGTAGCACCTTCTCATCGTAAAAAACATAAGTACAATAAACATAAATCATCTTACAAATATTCTTGTAAGTATAAAAAGAATTATTCACCTTCAAAATCCAATGATAAATTCTATACTAAACCCAAAAACAAATATTATAAAAAATCCCATCCAAAATTTAAATCTAATAAAGATATTACTTGTTATAACTGTGGTAAAAAATGTCATTATTCTAACAAATGTAAACAAAAACAAAAATTAAAAGATAAAGTTAATCATCTTCAAATTAATGATGAATCCAAACACCAATTATTTGAAATCTTCCAATTAAACCAATCTGATAATAATTCTTCTTCTGATAATCCTCATACCTCATCTGATTACCATTCACCTAGTGATGATTCTGCTAATAACATTGAATTAGGATGTAATGATATTTGTTGCAAACCCGTTAAACAAATCATTGTCCTTACTAAACAAAATCAAGAAGAAACCGCCCTTATTGAATTAATTGGTCGATTAGATGATCCCGAGTTAAAACAAAAGTATACTGACAAATTAAAATCTTTACTTACTAACAGTGATCATAAACCAAAGCATGATAAACCCATTATTAGTTTATCTAAAACTTTAGAAAGATTTAAACATAAACAAAAAGAAATTACTCTTCAAGATTTACAACATGAAATCAATCAGATCAAACAAACTATTAAAGATTTACAAAATAAAGATACAACTTTAGCGAATGAAATTCTTACATTAACACTTAATAAAAGTCTTGAGAATTTCCAAGAAAACAATGCTGAATCGCCTAATGAATTTGAACATGAATCTGAACATACTAATCTTGATAATCTTTTATTTGATAATCGATCATGTCAATCTCATAATCATGAAGATAAAAGATTAAATCTGATCAATAAAATTCATATTAAAAAATGGTATTCAAAAGTTAAACTCGTTATTGATGATTTTGAATTAAATATCATTGCTCTCATTGATGCTGGTGCTGATCTTAATTGTATTCAAGAAGGTTTACTTCCTACAAAATATTATGAAAAAACAAGTAAAAAATTAACTTCTGCTAATGGTAGTAAAATGCGTATTAAATATAAATTACCTAAAGTCCATATATGTCAACATAATGTCTGTTTCAAAACCTCATTTGTTTTAGTTAGAAATATGACTGATAAAGTTATTTTAGGCACACCATTTATATTCTTATTATATCCATTTACTACATCTAGTGAAGGAATAACAACTCAAGCTTTTGGTCAAACAGTTACTTTTAAATTCTTATCACCACCTGAAGTATTGGAATTAAATCAATTAAAAGACTGTTCTATTTCTCAATCTATTAATCGATTAACTCGTCAATTACGTTTTCTCAAAGAAGAAGTCAATTATAAACGCATTGAACAACATTTAACTTATCCTGTTGTTATATCTCAAATTGAAGAATTTAAATTAAAATTAGAAACAATTGTTTGTTCTACTTTACCAACTGCATTTTGGCATAGGAAAAAACATGTAGTCACTTTACCATAAATTAAAGATTTTAATGAAAGACAAATTCCTACAAAATCTCGACCTATTCAAATGAATCATGACTTAGTCGAAATGTGTAAAAAAGAAATCAATGAACTATTAAAAAATCGAATTATTAGTCATAGTAAATTGCCATGGTCTTGTCCTGCTTTTTATGTTAATAAAAATGCTGAATTAGAACGAGGTGTTCCTCGCTTAGTCATCAATTATAAACCATTAAATAAAGTTTTAGAATGGATTCGCTATCCTATTCCTAATAAAAAAGACTTAATCAAAAGACTTAGTCAAGCTGTTATTTTTAGTAAATTTGATTTAAAAAGTGATTTTTGGCAAATACAAATTCATCTTAAAGATAGATATAAAACTGCATTCACTACACCTTTTGGTCATTATGAATGGAATGTTATACCTTTTGGACTAAAAAATGCACCTAGTGAATTTCAAAATATAATGAATGATATTTTCAATCCATTTAGTCATTTTTCCATAGTTTATATAGATGATATTCTTACTTTTTCAAAATCAATTAGTGAACACTGGAAACATCTTACTGCATTCTTTTATACCATTAAGAGTCATGGTCTAGTCATTTCTGCTCCTAAGATTAAATTTTTTCAAACCAAAGTCAAATTTTTAGGTTATGATATTCACCAGAATACTATTTTACCTATTAGTCGTTCCATTGAATTTGCGTCTAAATTTCCTGATGAAATCTTAGATAAAACTCAGTTACAACGTTTTTTAAGATCACTGAATTATATTGCTGAATTTTATAAAGACCTTAGGAAAACTTGTCAACCTCTGTTTGATCGGTTAAAAGACAATCCTCCTCCTTGGTCTTCTACTCATACTGCTATTGTTAAACAAGTTAAACAATATGTCAAGTCTCTTCCTTGTCTTGGTATTCCTACTGAACATTCATTCAAAATTATTCAAACTGATGCCTCTGATATTGGTTATGGTGGCATCCTTCTCCAGAAAATTACTCC